TGAGCTGCGGGTGCCCAGGTGATCCTTAGTTTATTTGTTTTTTAGTTTGATCTTTATAGGAAACTGATTTCATCTTTATGTTTTTGGCTTTGGATTTCATTTCTTAACCGAACGAGGATTGTGCACTTTTGAGATGTGTCATGTTTAAGGTTTCTCTTCACGTAAACGACTGCCTCTCGGAAAAAGTAAAGAATTAGCTTTATTAGGATTGTTTTGATATCATGCTTTTACAGTACAGATGGGAAAGAACATGATTGCCAGTTGCAAGTTTGATGTATCTTCAACGATTAATATATGTCCTTTGCAGGCTAGCAATGCACATAGTTGGACGTGTATGGATCTTTATATCTTTGCAACGCCGTATCGTGTGACGTGGGACTACTATTTCTTTTCCAGAGAACATACTCTTGAGTTTACAGAATGGGAAGGAAAACAAGAATTTGAATACGTATGTTGTTAGCATGATGCTTGTAACAAGATGATTTTTTACAACTTAGCTACTTGTTTTTAAATTTGGTTGTATGTTCTTCTGAGATCAGGTTAAAGAGGCAGGGGTTTCAATTTTCCTCTTGCAAGCTGGGGTATTGAGAACCCTTCAAGCATTGTTCGACGTCCTCCCTTTGTTTGCAAATTCGGACTGGGGCGAGCAATCTAATATTAAGTTTCTTGAGAATCACATGGGTCCTACCTTTAAGGAACGTCGTCCCCCATGGACTACAAGTGTTAATGTTGATGATATTCACTCTGGAGATTTCTTAGCATTATCCAAATTTCGTGGTCCGTGGGGTGCTTTTGAGACTCTACAGAAGTGGGTTACTGGTTCATTTGCTGGTCATTCTGCTGTTTGCTTAAGGGATTCTGAAGGAAACTTGTGGGTTGCTGAATCTGGGCGTGGAACTGGAGTGGTATGTGTGCCTTTTGTTCTTCATGCACGAGGATTGTGTGATTTATGCTTTTGTTCTTCTTGCAGGAGGATGATATTATTGATGTTTTACCATGGGATGAGTGGTGGAACTACGAACTCAACAACGATTCATCCAATCCCCACATTGCATTTCTTCCTTTGCATCCTGATTTGAGGGCGAAGTTGAATGAGACTGCTGCGTGGGAGTATGTAAGGAGCATGGTTGGGAAACCATATGGTTATCATAATTTGATATTTAGCTGGATCGACACCAACCATGGAAACTATCCACCTCCCTTGGATGCCCATCTGGTATAACTATCTACTTATTTACTGTTTTCCCCATCTCGAGGTTCGGAGCTGTTAGGAACGATGCATCTCATTCCCCTGTATACTGTGCCTTATCATTGTAGCATTAAGACTAACCTTTCGCATATGATAAATGCATGATTCTAGCTCTCCTTTTATTGGAATGCCTTCTGTTGGGAGAACACAGGGTAAAGGTCTTAGGCCTGGAGGGGTCTCTAAGCGTAAATCGAGGAGTTGGCAAAGAAAGCCCTCAAATCTAAATGAATGAGATAACTCTTTGTATTATAAAAAGATTTGTGTAAAGCACTCCGCGTAAAGGCCGTAAACTATATATTTTAGTGATGTTCCAACTTTCTTTCATTAGTTCTGAAATGAAACCGTCAGGGCTGGTTGATTTGAGGTTTCCCATAGAAGAAATAGCTGCAAAAATTTCCCCTTCTTCGAGTTTATTGGAATGCTTATTTGATCTTTCCATTAGTCTATTAAGTGATGTGCCTAATAGACTTGACTTGACTTGACATGTTATAGTGGCAGTTCTAGATTCAAGTGATTCTATTTATTCTATCAACAGGAGCAAAAAGGGGTTGTGAAAATTGTAATTGAAAACCTATATGGTATTAAATATGTGCTTGTCTCAATGATGTTTATATATTTAACTTTGTTCTCAGTAATTTGTATGGATCTTGCCATGGTAGCTCCTAAAGAGTTTTATCATTTTACTCTTGAGAGTTTGATTGTTGGCACTATTTTACTATAGGTTGCTTCTGCTATGACAATATGGACACAAGTGAGGCCAACCCTTGCGGCAAACTTGTGGAATGAAGCTTTAAACATACGACTTGGAACAAAGGTAGTTATAGTGCTTATCTAGTTAAAGTGAAGAAAGCTTTCTAAGAAATCGATGATTATGGAGTTGAATATTTGAATTAGCCATCTTTCTTCATAGTTATCATATCTAAAATGATCCAAAGGTTTCACAGAGAACTTTTGTATGCTGTATTCATAATTGGAGTTTCTTTTTTATCCATTTTTCCTTCCCAATGCTCTTTTGTTTAGCCGTTTTCTTTTTCCTTTGCAGGGCCTTGACCTTCCTGAGATTCTAGTTGAGGTTGAAAAGCAAGGGTCATCTTTTGGCGAACTACTGGCTATTCCTGAACAGGATGACTGGATCTATGCTGACGGGAAATCAGCATCGTGTGTTGCTTTTATCCTTGAAATGTACAAGGCGGCCGGGCTTTTTGGTCCACTTTCTAGCTCAATACAAGTCACAGAGTTCACAGTACGTTTGCCGAGAATGTTCTGCTATATGTTTACAATGTTAAAAAAATGGGTCAATTTGTGTCATTCCTATTATTTTGTGCTGTTTCTGGACAAGAGACGTTGAAGAAACTAAAAGTTGACGGCGGAGGGATATTTTGATCTCGTCAACCATCATTATAGCCAATATAGCTTAGAATCATGCCATTAGACCTTGTACCTTAAGGTTTATTCCAGGAAGGGTAAGGGAGGGAATTTAGTCCCAAGCGATGAGTAAGAGGTTCAGTTTTAGATAGTTATATATGTCTGAAATTTTTACAGGAAGTTAAGAGGGGAGTTGTGACTTCCTTGGTCGGTTATCATATGTATTTCATTTCTATGGGAGAGAACTAGTAAATAAAAAGATACCTATCATGTTCTTTGGAGTAGGACTAGCCCTTATTTTGTTTAACTTGTTGATAATGTTTGATTAAATTATAAGTTTAGTCCTTGATCTTACATATTTGTATCTAATAGATTTCGGAACTTTGAATTTTGTATCTAACAAGTTTTTGACATATTCACATCTTTTAAAAATGAATGATTTTTATGCAGCCAGATTGTAACATTTTATAATGAATGATTTTGATCTTCTTTCTGTGTTTTGGGTCTTTAATATACTATCCATCTAAAATGCAGATAAAAGATGCATACACTCTCAACTTTTTTGAAAACAATTCAAGCCGCCTTCCGAAGTGGTGTAATGGTGGGGACGATGTCAAGCTTCCATATTGTCAGATTCTTGGAAAGTATCGAATGTATTTACCGGGATATAATAGCATTGAGCCCTATCAACATATGAATGAAAGGTGCCCTTCTCTTCCAACCAAGTACTACCGTCCAAAGAATTGCTAGAAACGTCTTATGTCTTGATGATTTCAGTTGTTACAGTATTGATTTTCTTGTAGCCTTCTAAGTTTTTGCATATCTGAAGCAATATGTTGGAACGTGTAGCACATAATGTTGCTTCAGTTCTGTTCCAATTTGTCATTCCTATAGAAAATTCAAATAAGGTATAGATCTCTCCCTCTTTCTCTCTTAAATAGAAATTAGGTTACATTAACTTTTTTCTGTACCTATTGAAAATCAAGCATACCTATGAAGTTGTAGTTGATGTTTGATAAATTTCAGTGAAATCAGCTGTTCATATTTATTGAGCTTCTATTTGATCAGGCTTTGTGAAATAACCTGCATATGCCAATTATGGAATATAGTTTTTCGCATTGACAATGAACACCCTTAGTATCAACTTATTTGTGCATTTTAGATTTTGAATTTGGTATTTGATGGCATGGATTTACAATGCAACAGCTCAAGCCCACCGCTAGACCGCTAGCAGATATTGTTTTCTTCGGGCTTTTCCTTCTAGGCTTCTCCTCAAGGTTTTTAAAACGTGTCTGCTAGGGAGAGGTTTCCACATTATTATAAAGAATGTTTCATTCCCCTTTCCAACTGATGTGGGATCTCACAATCCACCCCCTTCGGGGCCCAGCTTCCTCGCTAGCACACCTCCCGATGTCTGGCTCCGGTACCATTTGTAACAGCTCAAGCTCATCACTAGCAGATATTTGGTTTGGACTTGCCTTTAGTTTGATTTGAGCGGACTTGCCTTTAGTTTGATTTGAGCTTCATCTCAGTCATGGATAAATCATCGGGCCCATAAGCATCAAGAATTTTTCTGTGAAGACTCTGACTGTTGGCTTCCTTGCTAAATTGCTAATATATATGAGAGGCTACATTCTTCATCCATCCTCCCACACACTCCTTCGGATATTCAGGCTTGAAGAGTGGTACAAGAGCATTCCTCACAGCCTAAAAGGTGCAAGTTGGTGTCAAACCATGAGGTTTTACACAAGCGTGTCAGGGCTGAGTGCTTTGCCTTGCTCAATTCTAACAGACTAGCTTCAGACATTTTAATATTGACTGAAGATGAACTTGATAGGAACCTGCCCATGAATGAATGCTATAAGTTTGCCAAAGAGGGCCAGATTTTAAAACTTAACCCTGTTTTCTGATTCTCTTCTGGAGCCATTTTTTGTTATCAGGTCGATTGGCTCATGGCATGAAGAAGGGCAAGGCGGTGGCCTATAAAGAGTGTCCAAATTCTGAACCAGAGGAGGCTTTCTGAATGATATCTTAGGCAGGGTGAGGAAAACGATGACAGTGAGGTAAACACATAAACCACTTCATTGTTTAGCACATTCCTTGAATTCAAGGTGCTTAATTACTATCTTTTTAACCTAAATTCTAGCTTATAGTTTATATTTTACAAGAGTTTAACGTTTTTTTTAGAACTTCTACTTAGGTAATATTTTGGAAAATGGCTTACAGTCTCCTAATCGAGAGAGAACGAAGCGTTTTAAGAGATATGTTAGTTATCCTAGGGATCGTGCAAAGAACATAGAATTTGCAAACTTTTCTACAAAATCTGGAGATTTTGCTGAGTATGATTCTGTAGCTGAGTGGTATGTTATCGACTTGTTCTATCGTATCTGTGTCCCGTATTTGTATTCGTTTTTGTGTTCCTTAGTCAAAGATATTCTTCCTTGGTGTTGTTTCTGCAATGGTGCATTCTATGCAAGTGTCAGATAGAAGCTTTCTGTCAATTATGTTGTTTCTGCAATGTGCATAGTCTCTTTAGGCTCGGTGGATAAATTCATTTGAGTTAAGTTTGACTTAGCTAGAACAGATGACACATTGCTCTAAACACTAATCAAATCAAAACCAGCTCCACTATCTACCGCTATGAAAATTTGAGTTCATACCACTCAAAAACTCTTCGATCATCTCCTTCATAAACAAACATTTCTAAGTCGTCTCAAGCATCATAATATCCAATATAATCATTTAATGGCCATCAAAATGGAGGACACATGGCTTCTAAACACTAATTAAACAAAACCCAATTCCCACTAATCCTACCACTATGAATTGAAGCAATCAAAATAAAGCAATATTGAAAATTCATAATCATAACCCAATCTCTAAGATGCCTATAAAAAGATGCATATTACTCCCATTTCTCTAACATAACATCCATGGCTTCTTCTTCTTGTTTGATTCCCAGAACTGTAATTCTTCTTGTTTTCATTGTGGGTTTTCTTCTTCCATTGCAACTGCAGGCCCTGAAATTGCCATTTTCTCCTCGCGACATGCTTCCATTACTACCAAGAAAGGTGTCATGGCGGATTCTGAGCTCTTTCGAAAACCCCGCCAATCTTCTTCCGGCATACGTCGGAGCTGTCTCCTCTCCTGAGAAATCTGTTCAGTGGCAAGGGGCTTGTTTCTATCAGAACACCGCATGGTTGGAGTTCCATAACAAGTCTGGCTCTGAATATGGCGGTGGTACGCTTCATATAAAGGTATATTAATAGTTAGTTATTAAGGGAGTTTTTGAGGATTTAAAGCTCTAACCTTTTTGAGTAGAAAAAAACATAATAAGCTAAGTTATGCATAAGTTAAAGGTTGTATCATTTTGGACCCGACACTTTTGAGAAACATATAACATAAAATGATTACATTGAAGCACCATGACGAGTGTTCTTGAAGCTATGATTTTTAATCTCGATCTAAAAACTACAACGCCGGAGATGCATCTAGGTGTTACACTTACCCGAGATATATATATATGCAGGTTAGCAATGCACATAGTCTAACGTGTACGGATGTTTATATCTTTGCAACTCCATACCGCTGGACTTGGGATGGCTATTTTCTGTCTAGAGAACATACTCTCGAGTTCGATCAATGGGAAGGAAAGGAAGAATTTGAATATGTAAGAACTGTTTGATAATTATTTAGATCTCGTTTGATAATTATTCTATCTTAATTCTGGTTCTTTATGAATTGGGTGTATGATCTGTTCTGAAATCAGGTTAAAAGGGAAGGGGTTTCAATTTTCCTGATGCAAGCTGGAGTGTTGAAAAGCCTTGAAGCACTGTACAGTGTCCTCCCTTTGTTTGCAAACTCTGAATGGGGCGAGCAATCCAATATTAAATTTCTTGAGAATGAAATGAGTACCACCTTCAAGGAACGCCCTCCTCCATGGAGTACCAGCGTCAATGTTGATGATATCAACTCTGGAGACTTCTTAGCACTGTCCAAAATTCGTGGCCCATGGGGTGGCTTTGAGACTCTAGAGAAGTGGGTTACTGGTTCATTTGCTGGCCATTCTGCTGTTTGCTTAAGGGATTCTGAAGGAAACTTGTGGGTTGCTGAATCTGGGCGGGGCAATGGTGGAATGGTATGTTTTTCACTAATCCTTAATTTGCTTCACATCCATGCGAGTGCGTGGGATCCGCGCTCCAATCCCCATGCTTAAAAAGTTGACATACTCGATCTTAATAGTGCTACTTCACTGCTAGTTGAACTGCAACAGATATTTTTTTTCGCATCAAGCCACGAGAGTTCTACTTAACATCACGTGATTGAGCCCAACTACAAAATGGTCGTAGCTCAGCTAGCAATCAAATATTACTCGTTCTTTTTAATTCATTATAATATTATCTATGTGGCTAAACCTAATTAAAAGGTCAAATACACATGGTTTAACTATTGTTGCAGGAGGGTGATATTATTGATATTTTAGCATGGGATGAATGGTGGGACTATGAACTCAACAAAGATCCATCCAATCCCCACATTGCATTGCTTCCTTTGCATCCTGATTTGAGGGCCAAGTTTAATGAAACTGCTGCATGGGAGTATGCAAGGAGCATGGTTAAGAAACCCTATGGCTATCATAACTTGATTTTCAGCTGGATTGACACCACCCACGGAAACTATCCTTCTCCCTTGGATGCCCATATGGTAAAAAACAAACATATATACTTAGTTTACTAACGTTTCCGCTCCTCAGGTTAAAAAAACATTTTTAGTCCCATAACTTTTATAGCTATTTAGTCTTTATACTTTCAAATTTTGTAACAGCTTAATCTCCACCATGCAAAATTTCATAACATTTTAGTAATATTTTTCATGGTAGGATATTATAGATGTTCAGGGACTAAATTATTATTTTCACGAAGGTTCAGTGTGAGATCCTACATCGGTTGGAGAAGGGAACGAAGCATTCTTTACAAGAGTGTGGAAACCTCTCCCTAGCATACGCGTTTTAAAATCGTGAGGCTGACAGCGATACGTAACAGGCCAAAGTAGACCATATCTGCTAGCGGTGGGCTTGAGCTATTACAAATAGTATCACTGGGTCCCAAGAGGGGTGAATTGTGAGATCCCACATCGGTTGGAGAGGGGAACAAAGCATTCCTTAAGAATGTGGAAACCTCTCCTTAGCACACGCATTTTAAAACCATGAGGCTAATGACGATACATAACGAGCCAAAGCAGACAATATCTGTTAGCGATGGAATTGGGATGTGATGTTACATTCTAACCGGGACCAAAAGTAAATCTTTTGAATTTGATTGTTGGCACTATTTGAAACTACAGGTTGCTTCTGCTATGACTATATGGAATCAAATGCAGCCGACCCTGGCAACAAAGTTGTGGAATGAAGCTCTAAACATACGACTTGGAACAAAGGTAGTTTTCATCAATGATTGGAATATCCACAAAGTTGAAATCCCGATAGTGATATCGACGTTAATATTTTTTAACCCTTAATATTTTTGGGTACTTAAAAAGTAATTTCGAACGTGTCCTCGATCCGAACAGCTTTGAAATTCGGAATGGTCATTATGTTGGTTTATATGGCAGGGGCTTGAGCTTCCTGAGATTCTAGTTGAAGTGGAAAAGCGAGGATCATCTTTTGGGGAACTACTGGCTATTCCTGAACAGGATGATTGGATCTATGAAGACGGGAAATCAGCATCATGTGTTGCTTTTGTCCTTCAAATTTACAAGGCAGCTGGCCTTTTTGGTCCGCTTGCTACCTCAATTCAAGCCACAGAGTTCACTGTAAGTTCCCTCACAATCTTCTGCTCTATATGTTTACATTGTTAAGAGCTTGGCCAATTTGTGTCATTCTTATTATTTTGTGCTGTTTGTGGGTAAAAGACATTGAAGAAACTAGCCTGCATTTTTTTAGGTTAAATATCTGATGTTTGAGTAAGTGAATGATACATGAATGAACTAAAACTACGTCAGAATGAGCGATCTTTAGGATATGGTGGTTAAGAAAAACTTAAAAGAGTTGAAAGTTACTACCTATACCAACAAGGTGCATCTTCTTTTTCTGGGTGACTTAATTATAGAAACTCGAAAGTTAAGCGTGTTTAGCTAGGAGCAATTCTATGCTGGACTACTATGAATTTTTCTAAGAAACATGTGAGTGAGAAAAAAACATGATAAAAGGTCTCCTGTTGGTTGATGAGGATAATAGTCTTCACTCTAAAGCGACAAGTATGTAACGTGGTTGTCATAGGAGAGGTAAGAGAATGTTGAGGCCATCTAGTGTTGAATTTGGATTCCATATCCTAGTCCGAGTCCTGGGTATGATGCATTACAAAATAGGTAAGGTATTTCTACTAGACACTAAATTGATAGTTTAGCGATCTATTCGACACTAAGAGACTTTTGGATACAAAAAGAAAGTTTCGGATTTATCAAAAACTTTTAAAATTCAATGACCTACTAGACATAATATAACAACCCAAGCCCACCCGCTAATAGATATTGTCGGCTTTGGCCCATTACGTATCGCCTTCAACCTCACAATTTTAAAATGCGTCTGCTAGGGAGAGGTTTCCACACCTTTATAAATAATGTTTCGTTCCCCTCTCCAACCGATGTGGGATCTCACAATTCATCCCCTTCGAGATCCAACATCCTTGCTGACACTCGTTCTCCGCTCCAATCGATTTGAGATCTCACAATTCATCCCCTTCGAGGCTAAGCATCCTCGCTGGCACTCGTTCCCCTCTCCAATCGTTGTGGGATCTCACACAAAATTTAAAGTTCATAAACTAATGACCTGTTTGGTATACCTATTCTTTGTATAATTCTTCCATTCTTCTCAAGTCAAAGTTCTCGGTTAATGACCTATTCGAGATATTCTTCCAGCAATTGTGCTACATTTCTCGGGTTTTTTTGTAGATCGAGTTACTAAAATGGATGATTTTGATCTTTCTTGATATGCTTTGATGCAGATAAAAGATGCATACAATCTCAACTTTTATGAAAACAATTCAAGCCGGCTCCCAAAATGGTGCAATGGTGGGGATAATGTGACGCTTCCATATTGTCAAATTCTTGGAAGGTATAGAATGGATTTGCCTGGATATAATACCATCCAACCCCATCAACATATGAACGAAAGGTGCCCTTCTCTTCCAACTTACTTCCATCCAAACAACTGCTAGAAACCCTCTTCAAGGTTTCTTTCGTGTCGTGCGGGTTGGCTCTTGAATACTTGATGATAATAAGTAGTCTTGCCTTTAGTTTAAGGTTTGATGGGATACTCACTAATAACAGACGTACCTAGAAATAAGACGTCTTACAATAAAGTAATAAGAAGTTCATCATTTCGTTTAAGATTTGGTGGGATGTCCATACATAACATATGTATATTGTATTGAAAATATTTTTACATTAAGCAGGGGACGGGACAGGACAGGGCGGGGAATTGGACAAAGATGGGAACGAGGAATATAATCCCTAGTGTGAACACCCTTAGCACAACTTATACGGTACGTGTTTAGATTTTCACATCGACGGTAACAAAGAAAACATAAAAATGAACTGAAACTTATACAACATTACAGACAACTGAAATCATAACGATCTACATAAAAGACAAGATTAAACATAGAATGAAAGTTTAGAATATTACATTACAAGTCACCCACGACTAGTCGATTCGTGCTAAGTTTGTTCATAATTTGGGGTAAAGTTGAATGGGTAACCCTTTGTTGGGCATCAAGCTTGGATCTCTGGTCAAGAAGTCTTGTGAAGAGAGCTTCCAAGTGAACTGAGTGATTATGTAATGAATAGTGACAAGAGTTTCAAGCTTTGCAAACTCGTAGCCAGGGCAAATTCTGGGTCCTCCACCAAAGGCGATGAAAGATAAGGGTGGTGGAATGGACGTCTGGTTCTGATCAAATCTACTTGGTTCAAACTTTTGTGGGTCTCTGAATATTTTCTCGTCCAAATGGGTCATTGATGCCGCCCAAAATATCTGAATTCAGTGAATGGTAGTTCATCAATGTCGGGTTTAGAAGGACAAATGAAAAGAAAAGGGAAATGGGTTTGAGTTAATACTCGTCGACTTATGAGTTTATTACCTGAACTTTAAAAGAATATTGTAAAAACCGTAAAGACTTATGAGTTTAGTACCTGAACTTCAAAAGAATATTGTAAAAACCGTAAAGAAGGTGAAGTTGGCTTACTTGCCATCCTTTTGGAATAGTGTATCCACCTAATTGAATGTCTTTGAGAGCCACTCTAAACCCTCCGAAGACAGGTGGGAAAAGTCTCAAAGTCTCCAATGCTACTCTCCATGTGTACTTCATCTTGGAAACATCTTCCCAAGTGAGGGCCTCCCCACATTCCTTGCTTCTAAGTATGTCTTCATGTTCTAAAACCATAAATAGTGTACGTTTAGTTATTATTCGACTTGGGTCGATGAATTTGACTAACTTATAATGAACAACGATCCAAAGAAGAGTATACTTTTAGTTGGAGTTTCAAATACAACTCGAAATCTCATCATAATGACTGGATAACTGGATAACTGATTGATTCTAAGATTAGAATGACCCATTGAAGTCATCTAATCATTGAAAAACCTTTTTAAAAGTCAACCTTCTAAAACTAGACTGTTAAAGCATTTAAATCGATATTCAAATGTCCGAAGCCCAGAATGGAAAGCCCAAAGAGGACCATATCTGCTAGTAGTGGGCTATGGCTGTTACAAATGGTATTAGAGCTAGACATTGGGCGGTGTGCTAGCGAGGACGCTGCCCCCCAATGGAGGTGAATTGTGAGATCCCACATTAGTTGGAGAGGGGAGTGAAGCATTCCTTGTAAGAATGTAAAAATCTTTTCTTATTAGACGTGTTTTAAAACCTTGAGATGAAGCCTAGAAGGGAAAGTCCAAAGAGAACAATATCTGCTAGTAGTAGGCTAGGACTGTTACAATGGTATCAGAGCCTGACATCAAGTGGTGTGCTAGCGAGGACGCTGGGCCCCCAAGGGAGGTTGATTGTGAGATCCCACGTTGGTTGGAGAGGGAAACAAAACATTCTTTATAAGGGTGTGGAAACCTCTCCCTGGTAGATGCGTTTTAAAGCCTTAAAGGGCAAGCCAAGAAGTAAAAACCCAAAGATGACAATATTTGCTAGCGGTGAGCTAACAGAGGGGGCCCACAAGCACCCGACTCACCCCTTCGACTTACTTAAAACCCCGATAACTCAACCAATCTTGTAACACAAACCCCAAACCCCAATTCTACTAAGATCGAATCTCGTTTTTTTCAAAATTGTCAAAGATCTCAACTAAACTACACCCCATATATAAGAAAGAACTAAAAATTTACATACATACCTTGAAGAACAGCTGCATAAACAGTTGGGTTTGTAGCCATAACCCTAAGCATAAGAGTAATCAAAATGGATGTTGTGTCATGTCCAGCAATCAATAGAAGGATGATATTGTGCACAATTTCCTCCTCACTCAAAGCTTGTTCTTTGTCTTTGTTCTTGATGCTAAGCAAACAAGTAATCAGGTTCTTATCCTCTTCCTTTTCTTCTTCTTCTCCTTCCATTTTTTGTGCCTTGTCCTTCAAAAGCTGCTTCAATATCTGTTGAACTTTTGCACTTGCTTTGAGGCTATGGCTGTACCTTGTGAATGGCAGGTTGATTGGAACAGACCAAATCCCATCCACCATTGTTTTGAAGCATTCTATTATGCTCTTTCTTGTTGGCCCTTCTTCAATCCCAAACAGGAGAGAGCATATGATGTCAAAGGTTAGTGTTTTCATCAATGGTGCTACCTGCGTTTTTGTAACATTGTTAAGACGTTAAAACGACGATTTAAGTCTTGTTTGGTAACTGTTTTGTTCTTTGTTCTTCGTTTTTTGAAGTTTTAAGGTTATAAACACTATTTCCACCTTTGAATTTTTTGTTTGTTATCTACTTTTTTTACGGGTTTTTAAAACTAAAAAGGAAGTTTTAGTAACTTGTTTTTCATAAACTTATTTATTGTGAGATCTCACGTCGATTGAGGAGGCGAATGAAGTATTGTTTATAAGGGTGTGATAACCATTTTGTTGTTTGTTCTTCATTTTTTGAAGTTTTAAGGTTATAAACACTATTTCCACCTCTGAATTTTTCGTTTGTTATCTACTTTTTATGGGTTTTTAAAACTAAAAAGGAAGTTTTAGTAACGTGTTTTTCATAAACTTATTTATTGTGAGATCTCACGTCGATTGAGGAGGAGAATGAAGTATTGTTTATAAGGGTGTGATAACCATTTTGTTCTTTATTCTTCGTTTTTTTGAAGTTTTAAGGTTATAATCACTATTTCCACCTATGAATTTTTCGTTTGTTATCTACTTTTTACGGTGTTTTAAAACTAAAAATGAAGTTTTAGTAACTTGTTTTTCATAAACTTATTTATTGTTAGATCTGACATTGGTTAGGGAAGAGAATGAAGCATTCTTTATAAGGGTGTAGAAACTCTCCCTAGTAGACATATTTTAAAAACCTTGAGGGAAAGCTCGAACAGAAAAATCCAAAGAGGACAATATCTATTAGAGGTCAATATCTATTAGGGGTGAGCTTGGATTTTTAGAAATGGTATTAGAGCCAGACACTGGGTGATGTGTCAGCAAGGACGCTGGCCTTGAAGGGTGGATTGGGGGGTCCCCACATCAATTGGAGAAGGAAACGAGTGTCAGCAAGGATGCTGGGCCCCGAGGGGGGTGGATTGTGAGATCTCACATCGATTGGAGAAGGAAATGTGTCCCAGTGAGGGGGGGTGGATTGTGAGATCTCACATCGATTGGAGAAGGAAATGTGTCCCAGTGGGGGGGTGGATTGTGAGATCTCACATCGATTGGAGAAGGAAATGTGTCCCAGTGGGGGGGTGGATTGTGAGATCTCACATCGATTGGAGAAGGAAATGTGTCCCAGTAAGAAAGCTGTGTCTCGAAGGGGGGAGGGTGTGGATTGTGAGATCCCACATCGGTTAGGGAAGAGAACGATCTCACCTCGGTTGGAGAGGAGAACAAAGTCAAAGAGGACGTATCTTCTAGCATTAGACTTGAGTTGTTACAAAAGTGAAAAAATTACACTTTTGGTCGTTGAAGTTTGACTTATGTTATTTTTTGTCATTGAGTTTTCAAACTCGACATTTTAGCCCCTAAGGTGTGAGATAATCTCATTTTTGGTCCACGAAATTGCTAAAATGTCGGGTTTGAAAATTCAGACTCAAACGCAGCCTAAGTCAAACCCGAACAATTTATATAATTTTTCAAAAAAAAAAAAAAAATTTAGAGAACTCACAATGACTTCCTTGTTGCCATGCCAATGCAACTTCAAATGCTTCCTAACCTCTCCATCCATCTTCCCCACAAACCCTTTCAAGCTCTGAGGCCTCAAGAACCAAACCAATGCCCCTCTAACCCTCTTATGATCCTCACCACTCAACTCCGTCAAATTCCTCTCTCCCAAGATCCGCCTCAACGACTCGGTCTGCCGGTTCGACACCGCCTCCTCCTCCCCTGAAAACACCACTGCCTTGTTCGCCGCCACCCCATGTACAAACACCGTCGGTTTCCCGAAAAGGGTCATCTTCGAAATTGGCCCATACTTGGCCACTCTCTGCTGCAGCCATTGCTCGGCCGAGTTTGCTCGCATGGCTCGTAGAAGGCTCAGGCTTTGGCCTATATATGGGACCCCCAGCCGCCCCGGAGGAAGGTTTTTCGCCGCCACCGCGGTGGAGAAGAAGGTGGTTCTAAGCCTGAGATAGACGAAGATGGTGATGAGAAGAAGGATTATGGCGATCATTGTTGGTTGGTTGGTTTTGGTTTTGGTTTTTTTGAAGTGAGAGCCTATCTCATTGCTATTTATTTGTGAATATTATATTATATTTTAGGTATAAAATATTATTGAAATTATTTATTTTAATATAGAAATTTTTTTCGTGAAAAACCCAATCTCGGGAATTCTTTCCACCCCGATTCCTACAAAAATAAATGAAAAGGATCACAAGAATGAGGGACGGAGAAATTCTCCGTCTCCGTCTCTATCACTGTTCTTGTCTTATAGATATGTCTAACTTGCCGAATTACATTGAGGTGTTTACTTTAAATAGAAAAAGTATCGTTTACAATTATCCGTGAGTTTTAGCCAAATCATTACTCGAACTCGAACAATATAAAACTAAAAAACAAAAGGCATAAACTTAGTAATATACCAAATTGATCCATGGGAATCAAATTGTGTCCTTTTCTTTGCTGCAGGCAAACACTAAGTTTATATGTTGTTGGTATGTTGCTATTATATATATATATATGTTTATTTATTTATTTA